GCCCTGCTCGAATTTTTCTCCCCCCAATTTAAAATATCCTCCTACGCCACTGCTACATACCTCTGCATTAAGTAAATGATGATTTGCATACAGTATACAAAAGTCAACACAGATAAAGACTGTTTCACATTGTTGAACATGACTTGCGCGACGGTTATGACCAAATGGTATTACCCACAGTAAACTATGTCAATACAGAATTATATATGATGTAGTCAATGTCGATACAGAGTTTTATATGTAGATTCAAAATTGGTTGCAACCTGCTGGTTGAGTTATGCAGTCTGAGTACGCTCTTGTGATTATGTATTGTGCTCAAATAAAGAAAACTGATATTATGCTGGAATTTTAATCATATGATTTCATAGTTCCAAGTATTTTGAATGATCAAGGTTTTGTTATTGCAAAATGAAACCAAAGTGAACACGGAAGGTCTTAAAAACTTCGCATGTTTCTTGCTCTTAATTTATTTGATTCACAATGTGAGATAAATGTTATAAAGGAAGATCGTTGGCATATCTATTTCGACAATGGAAGGAAAGCAAGGTTTTGTCAGCTGTAAATAATGGCTTGTTGCCCGACGGAAAAGGAATATGGCTACGAAGATAGCAGGTTTGAGAAAGATGTCGACGAAAATTTTCATTGTTCGATCTGCTACAATGTTCTTAAAGAACCAAGAATGTGTAGAAATAATGAACACGTCTTTTGTCTTTCCTGTATCAGTGAACATCTGAAAGTAAATTCTCAAACTTGCCCCGAATGCAATGAACATCTGAGCGTAGATACGCTTCGTCGGCCGCGTGTGTTGAATAACATGTTGTCTAAACTGAGGATCAATTGTGATTATGCCAGTCGAGGATGTCCTGAGTTTACCTGTGTTGAAGGTCTCGAAACTCATGTTGCTAATTGCGAGTTTGCTCCTGTGTTTTGTTCAAATGAAAATTGTGGCATGGAGATTAACAAGCAAGACCAGGTCCATCACGAGACTGAAGTATGTGGATATAGGAAAGTGAAATGTCATGATTGTGGACACACAGGGAAGTTGTGGGAACATTGAAAGAAACATTGATGGAACTGGACGGAAAAGGTCAAGCTGCGGAGAAAAAGATGGAAAACAACCAAGCCGAAATGAAAAAGATTGTCGGCAAATTAGAAGGCAGTTTAGTGGGAATGAATAAGAGGATCAACGAAGCAATAAAGAACCGCCATGATGAAATGAAACAAGACCAACACAAAGAAATGGCAGCTATGAAAGAAAATCTTTGCAAAGTGAACAAAGACGTGGACGCAGTCAAAGTCATGATGAGTCAAATGTTAGAGAAGTTTAATATGTTTGAACTGCTCAGCAAACTGCCATCTCCGACCGAGGGAATGTTCAATACACCGAGAGAAGATATTTTGATTGCTGGTGGTGACTGTAATACTGCAGAAATATTTTCCTGGGAGAAAAATGGTTGGTACGATATTTCGCAAATGAATGAAGAACATACGGCAGCTTCGTCATTTATTTATAATGATCAGCTATTTGTTGTTGGGGGACTGCGTACTAAGACAATAGAAACCTTGGATCTCAATGAATTACCTTTGAAATGGATGGAATTTTCTGACGAACTTCCTTATGTAAGTTATCATCAAACTGTTGTTTACCAACAGCGCGTCATTCACATTGGTGGATATAATCTGGACGAGCGTAAAACGTCTAACGTGATTAGTGAATTGCAACTTACCTCACCTTGCGCACTGAAAGAGTTGTGCCAAATGCCCCAGCCACGAGAATGTCATGGTGCTGAGGCTTTTGAAGATAAAGTCTTGATCTTGGGAGGAGAAGATGATAATGATGACGTTTTAGACAGTGTGTTGGAGTTTGATCCAGACAAGAATGAATGTAAGAAGCTGCCATCATTACCACATCCCATGACAGGAATGGCAACAGTTCGCTGGAGAGATCAGGTAGTTGTACTTGGAGGTTGTGATAAGGATGGTAAAGTTCTGAATGATGTTTTCATGTATGACTGCAAGACGGGCAAGATCACAGCCTTGCCATCCATGTTGGAGAAGAGATACGATTGTTGTGCAGTTATTACTGGAAATACAATTGTTGTCATGGGAGGTAAGAATGATGATTATGATGTTTTCAGTTCAGTGGAGTGTTTTACAATGGGAGGTTCTACATGGAAGTATCTTCCCAGCATGAATAAAGAAAGATCCCAAGCAGTTGCTGAAGTTCTACCCTCAACAAGGAAATGTGTGTATGTTTGATATTTAACGTTGTCCACAACTTTATATTAGATTGTTTTGTTCAGAAGTAAAATTCCACGCATTTCTCTACCTAAGCTTGGATTTCTGACTGAGGGTAAAGTAATACGAATAACAAAGTTTCTCCAAGCAACATGCAAAAGCTAATTCCAACGCCATGTTATGATCAAAATGTTTTTGCATATTTTCTTGTCCCGTTTAGCTAAGCTATGCCCAAACAATTTCTTTAAACCAGCCTTTGTTGCAATTAAAGCCATTGCCTTGTTCGTATTGCTATTTACCTTGGCTCAAACAGGAGAAAGTACTGGAAATTAATGTAATTATTTAAAATATGATGACTTGACTCGGAACAGTGGAATATTACAGGCTTCAAACACTCATTAATAATTCATAAGCTTATTAGCAAATCATGGCAACCATAATATGTCACATGCAGTGGCTTTAAACCTGATAAAACACTCCTAATTAGTATTCTTTATATAAAGAATACTAATAAGGCAGTATCTATTGTAGTCGTGCCCTCATTAGTATTTTTTATATAAAGAACACTAATAAGGCAGTATATCTATTGAATTTGTGGTCGTGTTTGAGCCGTTTAATAAACTCGCAGGTCGTGTTTTATTAGGTTTAAAGCTAATGTCTATTATTCAAAAACTCATTAATAATTCATGAGGAAAACAAAGAAAATCATAAGCGTGTCGTATCTTTATACGTGATAGAAATTTCCCTTGATTTAAATAAACTTTAACTTTGATTTTCTCGATTTATACACAATGCATTTTTGAAAATTACTTCGCCAAGGAACTTACTAGATCGATCGTTTTTGAAGCAATTTAAAACATTCGCAGTGCGTGTTTTATCAGACCTAAAAATACTCGACTTCGTCTCTACGTATCTTTACATCTAATAAAACACTGCTGCTCATGTTTAATGCATCAGTCAATTCCAGCTGCGACCATCCCCCCCCCCCCGGGACAACCACCGGGCATTGGTAAATTTTCATTTTTTTCGTGCAAATGCCCGGGGGTAGGGCCAAAAAAAAGGAACAATTCCCCACCCTTGGGACGAAAAACAAAACAAATGCCCCACCCCCGGGCCGACAAATTAGTCAATTTCAAAGAATGTACTACATTAATTACATGTGTTTTAACAATTTGTATTTATACCCCTGTTAATTGCTCTTTTGGGAATTTACAAAAAAAAAACAAGTAAAACTATCGTGTTTATTTCAGATGAAAACATTGACGAAAGGCTGTGACACACTTGCTTTTATTGTAGAAAGTTTTTCATTGTAAATACAAGGAAGTATAAGCTTCGCGTTTCCGGGAACGGCAAACGGCAGATTTGAACTTTCTTCGCAAAATTTTCGTTAAACGTTTTCGTTTCATATTTTCTTTCTTGTGTTGAAAGAATAGTCATGCATTGCGGTTTTAAAACAGCAAGTTCATTTACTCTTTATTGCCTGATACCGTAATTTTTTTCTTCGCCGGCTGGCGTTTGCCGTTTGCCGTATAACGCGAAGCTTAAACTCTCTACAATACGTATAATATGGACTGAAGGAAAATCTTAAACATTGATTCACACTTGAAAATCAACATTCAACAATAATACACTATATAAAATTTGTTTAACGTATTTAATAGTCTCCATTTTGGCATACAACAAAGGAAACTCGTGGCCGCGGTCTTTTCTCTGTGAGCGACAAATGCCCGGGGGTAATAACCCGATATTGACAAATGCCCGGCCCCCGGGCGAAAACACAGCTGCAAATGCCCGGCCGTGGGGACAAGTAAGCGTTACAAATGCCCCGCACTGTCCCGGGGGGGATGGTCGCAGCTGGAATTGACTGATGCATAAATAATACTTTAAAGTCAAAAACTACTAGCAAAACAAGTTTCCTGTTGTCAGAAGTAAAAATTTTAATCGGTGATTCCAGCTGTAGACTAAATTTTGATCAAGGCAAGAAGAACGAAATCCAACACCACAGCTGGAAAGAGCGTCTTAGAATGAGTAAAACTGCAAAGATTGGTTGCTAAATGTTGTAAAATGAAGAAAATATAGCCCTGTGAAGTTCGCAAATTTGTATATACTTGTATTACGCACGGTAAAAATAACCACCTTTCCAAGTGATCTCGTGTTCGTATTTTAGCCAATCAGCGCTCAGAAAGGGTTGTCCGAATAGAAATCCATTTTGATGTATTCAGTCAATTATGTCTTTCGTTATTCTTTATGAAACTAGTTGAACTTTTGTAATTATGTTTAGTTATGAGAACTCTAGCTCTGACAAAAATATGGAATCGAAATAAAGTATATTACAGGAGATATTCAGTTGTTTAATCATAAAATGGATTTCTATTTGACAACTAGTGCCAGTACTTTTCCGCGTATCAAGATCATCTGGTTAATTGGCTCAAAAATGGGTTTTTTCCAGCGTGTAATGCGAATGTATATATCCAAAATTTGCGAACTTCACAGGGCTATATTTCCTCATTTTACAACAATTCGCAACCAAACTTTGCAGTTTTACTCATTTTAACATGCTCTTTCTAGCTGTGGTAATGGATTTGTTCTTCTTGTCTAGATCAAAATTTCGTCTATATAGCTGGAATCATCCATTGTCAATTTCTTGCATTTTCTCGTGAATGGAACCCACGATCTGAGAAGTGAAAGGCAGTTGTTCTCACGACTGAGCCACAGCTTGTTTTCCAACTCTGAATAAAAGCCAATGCTCGGAGTAACTCGTGTATACCGCCATTCCTGTAAATGCTCGACGATATTTACCGAAGATACATCAAGGCTGTACGCCAATCACAAAAAGCCAATCTTTAGCATACACTCGAGCACGGACCATTACCAATCCAGCATTCTGATTGGCTACTCAATCATGGACCATTACGTAAGTGTCCATGGTTGAAAAAAAAAGTTGGCGGAAAATTTTGTTTTGCAAAGTGTTTGACGGAATTTTGTCGAAAATTCTTTCCACGAAGAACAAAAGACTACAAAATATGATCTGAAGACGTTTAATGGAAGGAAGCACAATTTAAACCGTATTTTAATAGTTAATCTGCTGCTACTTGCCAAAAAATGTGATACGAAGATAAGCGGAATTGTTGAGCATATCGTTGGTGCATACTACAAGCAAAATGCAAAAAGAAACCGATAAATTTGTATATAGCTGCTTGTAGTTATTTTATAATCATATATTTCCCTCGGTTTTTTCTGTCTAAAATGTGATTTTATGTTCATATAGCAGTAACATTTTAAGGCTTTTTTCCCTTTAAATGATCTTTTATGTGTGCTTCGACATTTCCTGCCAAAAAACTTTATTCATAACTTCCGATTGTTCCGATAAAATTACGGAATGCTAATCAATTGTATATAATGTGCAACTAAATGTGTTACCTGACTTTCATTTTTCATATTCTTGATAAGCTGCAATTCACTTTCGGTTTCCTGGAAAAACACAATAGGAATCACGAATAGCGTTCAATGCGCTGAAGTACTAATGCGAGGGTCCTGAAGGGGGGGGGTCCCAATCCCATTTCCCACCTGAAATTTTGGCAAAATCCCAGTCCCAGTTGGATTTTTATTAGAAATCCCAATCCCAGTTATTGAAATCCCAGTCAATAAAAAACCCTTTATTTATCGGTAGAATAAACAGTTTTAAGACCTTTTAAGCATGTGGCGGACACTTTATGAAATATTAGGGGGGGTGCTAGTGCCGAAGGCACGGAAAATTTTTAAATTTGAATCCCGGAAATGGCATTTGCAGCATTCTGAGACACGCATAATCAGAAAACCCAGAATTCCGGGCGCCAGAGTATGCCTGTTCGCAGGTAGTGCTGTGAATAATATAGTTAACAACAAAAATCATGACCAAAGACACCAAAAACGGATCAAAATTGTATTTTAAAATACTCAAAACACAGAAAAATTGGGAATCGACTCTCATTACCTCAATCCCATTCCCATTTTTGAGAACTTCATTTCCCATTCCCAGTGGCCAAATCCCAGTCCCAGCAACCCAAATCCCATTTTCCCAGTCTAAAAATAGATCAATCCCAGTTCCCATTTTACCCCTTCAGGGCCCTCTAATGCTCATCCAAGTGACATTTCAACGATGGCTCTGGGTACGAGATTGCATGTACACCTTCATATATTAGCAGCAACGTATTACACGTAAAAATCTCACATCTTGTAGCAAGTCTGCCAACAAGCCGCCAACAAGTTGTCTTCACACTGCTTGTCCCAAGTTGTCAACAAGTTTGGAACAAGCTGTTAACAACTTGTGACAACCTTGTTGATATCATCAGACTTGTTGCAAGGTTGTTCCAACAAGTCCGATACAGTCATGATATAACAATATTGTTACAACCTTGTGTCGTCAACCTTGTAACATTCTTGTTATATCATGACTGTATCAGACTTGTTAGAGCAACCTTGTAACAAGTTTGATAATGCCATCAACTATCAAGCTCGTTACAAGTTGTCAACAGCTTGTTCCAAACTTGTCACAACAACTGGGAACAAGCAGTGCGAACAAAACTTGTCGACAGCTTGTGAACAGGTTTGTAACAACTTGTGCGTTTTTACATGTAGTACTACACGCATAAAAACGCGCAGCTTGTAACAAGTCTGGAAACAAGTTGTTACAAATCTGTGCACAAGCTGTCAACAAGTTTTGTTCGCACTGCTTGTTCCCAGTTGTTGCAACAAATTTGTAACAAGCTGTTAAGAACTTGTAACAAGCTTGATAGCATTATCAGACTTGTTATAAGTTTTTACAGCCGTGATATAAAAACAAGCATGTTACAAGGTTGTCAACACAAGGTTGTAACAATTTGTCGCATCAAGCATGTAACGGACTTGTCAGAACAACCTTGTAACAAATCTGACAATTTCGGCAAGGTGGTTACAAGTTGTCAACAAATTGTTCCAAAACTGTTGACAACTTGTAACAAGCAGTGCGAAGACAACTTGTTGACAAACTTGTTACAAGATGTGAGATGTTTACGTGTTAATAGGATGCCAATCACACGCACCTTTCTTAATTTCTTTTCCGACTCAAGTTGTTTTCTGACGTCATCATACATCTCATTCAAACCTTCCCTACCCAGAGAGGGCAAATAATTAGTAAACACAGTATACATGAAGGAACATAAATCTGTTCGGGGCTTCGGTGGCGCAGTCTTCAAAGCAACCGCCTTTCACCTCTGAGATCGTGAAAAGAGTGAGTCAACGCTCTGCCGAAAGTCGTGGGTTTTCTCCGGGTGCTCTAGTTTCCTCTCACAGGGAAAGTTGACAGGGTGGGTTAGGATAAACACAGTTAAGAAAGTAATATCACAATTGTTGTAAAGATAAAATACACGCGTAAAAACGCTCAGGTTGATGCAATACTGATGGAAACAGGATTGAACAATGTTTTGCTGCCCACATTG